ATTGATCATTTGCATGAATACTGCAGGGCCCCCCTGTAGGCCAAATGGAAGAACGTTGAATTGGAAACAGCCCATTGGGCAGTTAAAAGCAGTTTTCCATTCATCCCCTTCCTTAATTCGAACTCAGTAGTATGCTTCTCTCAGGTCGAGTTTTGTAAAAAAATTTCCCTTTGGCCAAGTGGGCCAACATGGGTACATTCTCCACTGAAATAGTGTTGAGGTTTCTATAGTCAACACATAAATGAAGGGAGCCATCTTTCTTTTCACGGAACAATACTGGGGCTGCTACCCGGGGGTCTAGCAGGTTGGATGAAACCATGTTCCAATTTTTTATCGATAAATGACTGCAGCTCTTCTAGCTCCCGCGGTGTCATCGAGTACAGTTTCGGTTTTGGGAGTTTCACCCCTGGTAAAATTTCAATGCTGCAATCTGTTGAGCGATGTGGGGGAAGCTCGTCCGAGGCCTTTTCACTGAATACCTCCTTTAAGTCCCAATATTCCTCCGGAATTTTCTCCTCCCCCTTCAGGCTCTCGGTGCCAGTGGAGGCCGGCTCAGTGGGATTCTTGAGTTTCAGTTGAGATTGCCCCTCCCCTTCTGGGCATTGGTCAGTACGTATGCGCAATAATCCCCTCCTCCAATCAACGTGGGGTTCCATTTCTGGAGCCAGGGCAACCCCAGTATTAGGGGGCACTCCATCCCAGGAGCCACAATAAAACACAAAGTCTCTCTATGCTTCCCCATCGTCATTTCTATTGGTTCCGTTATGAAATGTGCAGGGCCGCCCCCAGCTACCGATCCATCCAGTTGGCAAAAGGCTATGGGCGTTTTTAAAGTCTTTAGCCTTAAGCCCATTTTCTCTACTACCTCCGAGCTGATTACGCACCTTGTGCTCCCAGAGTCTAACAAGGCCAGCATTTCCCCTTTGGCTCCCAACGTGGATACCCTTAATCTCACTGGAATGGTCATAAGGCCCTTGTTTGGACTTACCAGTCTTCTGATTTGGATTCACTCTCTTCAGAAGAGATTGGAGTTCCCAGCTCCTCTCCTTTCGGACAGCCGATCTCTACAACCTCCTCCGCTTTAAGCGCCATTTCACGAGGCTTTGCTGGGGGGGTTTCAGGTTTTCTTCCTCCTCCTGGCGCCCCTATGGCTCTAGCTCTAGCATGGCAGTCTGCAGCTCAGTGATCTTCCTTCCCACATCGGAAGCATGCAGTGGTCTTGGGTTTTGCCGCCATTCCTCCCTTTTGAGGTTTTAAGGCTTCTCGAGGGCTGGTGCGGGAGGACCTGCTCCAACCAAGACTCCCCCGGCGTCTGTTTCGGGTCAGATCAATTTCCACCTCTGCTGCCAGCATGTACCACAGCTGCAGCTCACTGGGGTCTCTTCTGGCAATACAGCTTTGATATACATCTTCATTCAACCCATCTTTAAAAGATTCTATCAGGGCTCCCTGGGACCAGCTTCGAATATGACACGCCAGCTCTCTAAATTCCTGGGTGTAGTCGGCCACTGATCTCTGCCCCTGATTTATGGTCTTCATCCTAATTCTGGCCTTACGTTCAGCAAGTGGGTCTTCAAACCTGGCCCGCAGCGCAGTCATGAACAGGTCATAATTTATCAGTTGAGGGGCATTATCATTATGCAAAGTCACCATCCACTTTGCAGCTGTTCCCTCCAGAGCCCTTGTAACACATCTAACTTTGGCTGCTTCTGAGGAAAAATCCCCTCCATATTCCTCCATATGGCTCCAGACTTGTGCCAGGAAGAATCCTAACTCCTTGGGATCCCCCCCCCCATATTTTACTTCCAACGGAGGCACCTTTGGAGTTCTACGTCTTCTGGCAATTACTCCCCCCCGCTGGGGGGCCCTGGGCTGCTGTTGCCTGTTGCGCTAGCCCAAGTTGATTTATGGGGGTGGCTGCTCTGATTCTTCTGGCTGGGACTGCCTCACCCTCCTCTCCCTCAGACCTTTGATCAATTTGAGGTTCTCTGATAGCTTTATTTAGAAGATGCATGGCTTGAGTTAGTAGAAAATTCTTTCCTTCCTTCTCTTGCCATGGCTCCTCTCTTCCACACCGATGGGTAGTGGTCACTCCTGGAGGAGGCTTTTCCTCAGGATCCTCCCAGGGACCATTTGGGTTTTACAGCTGGTTTTTCGCCAAGACTTAATTCTGCTTAATTCTGACAAGTCTGCTGCCTCTAACAGCAGGGAATCTTGTCTTCCAGTTGCTCCCAGGTCTTCTTGGTCGCTGGCTGGATTTGACATTGTGTTCAGACCCCCTGGGAAGAAAAATTTATTAATTCTCCGGGTGGGCTTGTAATGTGGAGATTCAGAATAGTCAGCTGGTGCTCCATTCAAAATCCAAGAAAAAAATACTTCGACTCCATTAATCAGAGAAAATATATCTTTTACTGGAAATCAAGAGGTAGCAACAAAAGAATTCTGAATCTGAGAAAATGGGCGTGTAAATCACATACACAAAGTAATGGCAATGTTCCCACCCCCAATAGTTCAACTGGCTCATCCAATTAAAAGTTGTGTATATCATCATGTGGGCATCTCCACCTGGTGATGAGGCCTCTGTCCGTTGACCTTGACATATTTTGATAAAGAGTTGCAGCTGTGCATAGCATAGGATAGAAGCCTAAGCAAGAATCTACCCCCCCAGCTTATACAGTTCTGGTTTGTAACACCTACAGCTCACTTCCCATAACCATTCCCCCCTCCTCCCCCCATTACTTATGACAGCTGAAAGATGCAAAGCAAAGGGAGAAAATCTTGAAGGCTGACACCCCTACAGAATGCAGCAATGCTGAGGTCGCCTCCCAATGGTGACCCGGCCCAAGATCCTAGTGGATGCAGCGACCACTGGAGATTGTATCGGGCCAAGGAGAACCTCAGATGCCAGGGCTCCATTCAGAGGCTTGGAATTCCCACTGACCTCCATGTGGGAGTCAGCCATTTTGCCTTGCACTGGAGAAAGAGAAAGTCTCCTGAGCCAGATGAGTCTGGAGAATGCATATACTTGACAGTTCACCCAGGGCAGGTGGTGGAGACTCTGTCAACTGGATGAGCATCGAAAGGATGGGGCAGGCAGTTGGCTTGAGTTGCCCAGCGGGGTCCTGAGCTGACCTATCCTGACATTCTCATCCCGCCGTGATGCGGCTTCAATGGCAGCAATGTGGCTGGCTAGCCCTCCTCCACCACAGTCGGTTAGTCAAGCCCGGGCCCACAGCAGAGCCTGATGCACCACTGTTGAATAGCAAGCCCACCCGGCTATGTACCCAACCCTCCTGGATGGCAGAAGCCTCCACTATGTGCATACTACCCTTGGCCATTGGCCTCTGGCTTGGATGCTGCCTCAACCTCCTCCTCACCCAGCTGCACTTCCTGCTCTGAAAGCCACCTTTGACAGGGACCTGGAGAAACTGGCTTCACTTACGACCATGTCTTGCTTTGCAATGGAGATTCGAGGAAGCCGGATTCATTTAACAACTTATGACTCACTTAAGAGCTGCAACTACTTGCTTAACAATGGTAGCAAGACTGGCCATGAGGTGGGTGAAAGCTCACTGAACAGCTTTCTTGCTTTGCAATGGAGATTCGGGGAAGCCGGATTCATTTAGCAGTTGTGTGACTCTCTTAAGAGCTGCAACTACTCAATTGTTACAATTTTGGGCTCAATTGTTGTTGTAAGTTGAGAACTATCTCTGCCTTCCTCTGCATGGCAGCCTTGCCTAACAAACTCCTTCCCTTTTCTGGGAATTTCTCCTTTTTGTTAGAGGCACCAAAATAACCCAGTTGACATAAGGTCTCCTGCTGGAGCAGGGGGTTGAACTACATGACCTCTGAGGTCCTTTCCAGCCCTGGATTGCTGTGCTGTTTGAAAGCATCCTCTGAAACTGCCAGGTGTTTGTTTCCTCTCCTTTTTCCCTCTCTCCCACCCTACATCCATATTTTGTTCACTTTTCCTTCCCTTCCTTCCCTTCCTCTTTCTCTTTCCTTCTTTCCTTTTCTCTCCCCCCCCACTTTCCTCCTTGGATGAAGCCGGTGTACTTACCACCACCCCCACGCTAGTTGACTGTTAGTCCAGCTAACAGTCAACACAAAAAGTTTTCCTGTGGTCATCATAACAGGTGGCTGGTGGAGGACAGGAGCCTGCCAGCTATATTCATTGGACAGTGTGACTAATGACACTTGGGAGGTTTTTTTTACTCTTTTAATTAAGTGAAAATTGTGGAAACTTTTAGAGTTGGCTGTGCCGATATGATGTGAACATGTTCTTTGAGGAATCTACTGCTTTGGAGTTCTGCTTTGAATGGGTGCATTACTCGGAACACTGACATATTGCTTTTTGTATTGTTTATTAAAAGGGGCTAACTTAAATATTGCCTTTAATTTATTAGAAAAGTGATGTTTTAAAATAAGTGTTGTTTACTCAGTGTGGTGTCTTAGCAACAAAACTTGATTATGTAAATGAGCACATGATCTTGAAAAAATACTATGTGTCTTTGTGTTAATGGAACCTCAAATGGTTAATTAGCTAGCACTTATAGTTGCAAAATGGTGGTTTAAAATTGAATGCTATATTTTTTAAAAAAACATTAACAAAACTGTCTGAGCAAGCAATTTGTAGCCATGATTTGCTCTTATATTTTTTGAGAGAGAAGAAAAGGAACTTCATCATCAAAATGTGAAGGGAAGATGGTTCAGTCCTAACTTATAGCATCCTACATGAATTGTTCTTTGAAGTGAAACTATAGAATAAGTTATACATTTTTGGAGACAACAACACTGAAGCAAGCTGTGATCAACATGAATCTGTTTAATGTTATTATGAGATGGGGAATGTTGCATGTAATCCGGATATATTCCTTCAATTAATAGAAATAGTCAATACTGACATTTTAATATCAGAAAATGAAAATCAGAAGGAATCATTGGGTATTATTTATCTCTTTCCTTCTAAAGTATTAGACTAATTTAATCTTTCATTGCAGGCTCAGCTAGAAGCTCAGAAAGCAACACAGGATTTTCAGAGAGCAACAGAGGTGCTACGGGCTGCTAAGGAAACCATTTCTCTTGCAGAACAGAGGCTGTTGGAAGATGACAAACGTCAATTTGATTCTGCATGGCAAGAAATGCTCAATCATGCCACCCAGCGGGTAAGCTCTATTACTACTCTTCCTATAAATTTTTAAGCATTTAGGCAAAGAGACAGAATTAATATTTTACACAATATTGCACAGGTTCTATCGCTTACTTCAGGGACAGTTTATTCATAGATATTAGGAGAAAAGCAGCAAGATTATTTGCATGTAACTGTTCTAACTTTAAAACAGGTAAAGCAATTACAGGTTTGTAATAGGCTGAATCTGTCCACAAATTATATACAATGGGCCTCTACTGCACAAATACACATGTTGATTTAAAGGCACATAACTTATTCCTTCAGGTCTTTCACCTATAGCGACCAAAACTGGATCCATCCTGCTGCCGGTCATCCTTTTCTCTCTTTTTCCATTTCCAAGCATTACGATTATCTTCAGAAAGCTAGGTGGATTGATTTGTAATCATTGTTTAATATTTTGGACATTATTTATGATTAAATTAATCAGTTTTGGACATTATTTATGATTAAAGTAGCATTTTTTTAGTAGGAAAATGGCCAATGTTAAAAAAAAATCATTGCCTTTTAAGAAAGACCTTGACATAATAATCTAAACAGATTCTTCAGATTTAGTGATTCCATGATTCTGTGATTGATTTTAATTTACATGGAAGTTTCTCATTTTTTGCATTTTTGTAACACTGACAGAAGTTTAGCCAATGTGATGTTGCTAACATTAATAAATTATATTTACAACTCAGATTCCACTGAGCCCTCTTTTTTCTATGTGGTTGTGCTATTTTGCCAGATATTACTTAGATATTTGAGAAATATTGTTACTAAAAACAAAGCAAGCTTTGCATACAGTAGCTTTAAATCAAAAACATTTTCATGCTTTTAAAAGGTTATGGAAGCAGAGCAGACAAAAACTAGAAGTGAACTTGTACATAAAGAAACAGCAGCCAAATACAATGCTGCCATTGGCAGAATGAAACAGTTGGAGAAAAAGCTGAAAAGGGCAATCAACAAATCCAAGTAAGTTTAAATCTCCAAGGGATCACATGATGTTATAATTGTTGAGTTATTTTTCTAACATGTGTAAATAGAACCATGAGAAACCATGGGAAATGTCAAAGGCAGCCTTGAATCACACACTCCTTCCAAATGCCTAATACAAGACAAATGCAGAAGTTATGAACAGGAAATAAATATTATGGAATCATAAGAGTTATAGCTCAGCAGTATAGTGTGTGATTCAGTGCAAGTCATTTATCTGTGACATTGCCAAGTAGGGATTAAAAGTCTTGCTTAAAGAGTTTTTCATAAAATCATCTGTCAATCTGAATTAACAGTTATCTGGACCAGTAGTCTTAATCATTGATTTGCTTCATCAACGAGGCTTAAGATGTTATTTTAAAAGAGTTGTCTGATAAAGCACAGGAAAACTACATTATTGCTGAGCCAGTGTAAAAAAGACCTGCTTGATGAATCGATATTTGGTGCTTCATATATCAATTTGAGCTACTACTATCTTGTGCTTGGAATACCTTTCAGGATTGTTTAAAAGAATATTTCAGTCAAATTATATTAGCAGCACGATTATTGCTTAAGGCTAGTAAAATGAAACCACCTCACTATTTTAGTAGTTTTTATGTTACAATACAGCATTGTTTTCCAGTCTCTGCTAGACTGTAATAATGGAACAATTTAACCTAAGTACTTTCAGATTCTGGATCAGAAGCCTCTAGGATAGGGACGTCAAACTCAATTTCATTGAGGACCGTATCAGGGTTGTGTTTGACCTCTGGGGGCTGGGGTGGGCAATGGCCAGGTCATATTGGGGGTGCCTGTGGTGGCCTGAGCACTCTGCCAGCAAAAGCGGGCTCCCAAGCTCTGCTTTCAGCTGCCACACCCTCCTGCAATCCTCTGCCAGCAAAAACAGAGCTGATGGAGTCAAAGACCAGTCATTTGCAGAGGGCAAAGATGTCTGACTGCCTGAGTAGTGTTTATTGCTTTGATATAGTTTTTACAAGCAGAAAAAGATAAAGCAGCAACAGCTTTTTATTGGTGAATTCTGACTGCCAATCCTTAAGAATATACAAGTAAGGAAGTGGTGATGTTAGCCAGGTGAGATCATGTACCAGCTAGGGACAGTGTTCTGCAACATTCTGGTGATGTGAACTGGGATCATGTAGGTATTTGAAGCACAGCAGTATGCTGCTCGCGCCCCCTACAGGACCTCTATCTCTACATCTCACTCTTTTTTGTTTTGTTAGACAAGGCATCATCATAAGAGGGGTTAGTAAAAGGATCATAATCAGGAGAGGAACATCCTTGCAGTTGCTTATACAGGGCATAAACCTGACCCTGAGGCAGTGTGGGAGGGGTTTGGGGCAAAAAGCTGTGATACATATGTTGCAAAGGGAAGGGAGACATTGAGAAAAGCAGCACCCACCAATTAAAATAGCACAAATAATGACGAAATAGCGTAGAATATTTCCCATTTAGCCTGTGGGCAACCAAGCTCAAAAGCTTTCCCACCAAGATCCTAAATTATCACTTTTCAAATCCAAGGCCAAATTAAAATATTGAGCTGGTGCTGGATGGTTAGTGACTCATCAGACAAATTAAAACAACATAGCCCATCCAAAGTTTCACAACCCAAATGCTGGCGCAAAAGCGAATAATCAACCGCAGCACGATTTTGTAAAATAGCCTTTCTCAAAGCTTGCATCTCATGGTTGATTGCTGAGATAGCTGAAGAACTAGCATTAATTGTCTTTGCTAAATTACATGCAACAGAGTTAATGTTAAGGTGAGCACGAGCAGCAAGTGCTGGCATGCCCACCATAGACACAGCCAGCACTACATATTCCGCTTTATTAAGTAAGGCTGTTTCAGAGTCACAGGTGCTATCTAGCTCACGTCAAGAACTATTCGAGTGAATTTGTTGTTTGGAAAGCAAAACAGGAATCAGCCGGCTGAGGCAACACTTCACTTCACTAATATTAGCAGGAGTATAATTAAAAGTTTCTTGACCACATGTCAAAAACTATCCTTGCGGTAGCCAAACATGGGCAAAATTAAACTCCCCATGTCACTGGATGACTGGCACGACGAGACCGGACTGGACGCTGTGCCGTCTGTAGAGTCACCTTTGCCATTTCTGGGACCAGATCCAGGGACTGATGCCACAACATCCTTGGCTGGACGGACGCAATAGGAGGACGGTCCTGTAGGAGCAAGCACAGCAGCATAACCTTACCCCAAGTAAGGAAGCTGCCCCAACCATGTTTTGTCTGGTAATGCCCGATAATATACTAGAGGAGGAGACAAGCTTGTTTTCTGTTGAAAATGTCTCTAATAAGTGATGGAATTTTGAATGGAAACATTCAATTGATTTAAGGTAAATAATACTTTTTTAACCTGTTGTGTTACCCACAACAAATTGGGGACCCGAGTTCCCTCCTTTTTTATTTGTTTGTGGAGGCAGTCCTTAAAGGACCAATTAGCATGTTCCATGATGGCTTGACCTGTGGAATTATAGGGAAGACCATGAGTAAGAACAATATTCCAGGTTGTACAAAATTGCAGAAAGGCCAATGAAGAATAGGCTGGCTTGTTATCAGTTTTTAAAGAAGAGGGCTTGCCCAAGGCTGTAATGGCCAAAAAAACATGAGAAATAACATGATTAGCAGTTTCCCCTTGTTGAGGAGTGGCCCAAATTGTTCCTATATTTCCAAGGAGCCAAAGAGGGAACATGGGTAACATGCATTTGCCAGAGTTGATTAGAGGTGAAACCACGGGGATTAACTCCTGTGTCCCCTGAGGGGGATGCCCCAGAACATTGGGGACAGGATGAAACAATCTGCTTGGCTTGGTTCAGTGAAATATGGCAAGCTTGTGCTAGCCCCCTAGCATTTTGATGGAAAAAAGAGTGACTGAAAAAAGGATCTGAAAACAAAGTAAGTAAAACATGAACAACAGCGTCAGCATGACTATTGCCTTCAGAAGAGGCCAGGAAGGTGTGAGTGACTGCGTATGTGAGAAACAAAGTATAAATGCTTTCTGTCTTGTAGCAGCCGCTGCAAAGTTAAAAACAAGGCCATGAGATTAGGTTCAATCCTGGGCGTGATATAAGCACCTGGAAGATTAAAAATAAGTTGACACACATAATGAGAGTCAGAGATTAAATTGAAAGGCTGTTGAGAAAAGGTTTGGAAAGCTAAAATTGCAGCAGATAATTCTGAATCTTGTGGAGAGGATTGTACTGCAGTGTAGGACACTTTCCAGGTGTCATCATGAGGATCCTTGTAAGCAATCGCTCCTCTCATTTGCCCGCCATCTGAAAAAACAATAGGAGCTTGCGGCAATGGAGAAGGAGAAAGTAGTGGGTGGACAGAAAAGGAAGAAGTCATTAAGCAAGCAAGCCGAGGATCTTTAGGCAAATGATACACAATACAGCCTACATAGTCAGTTAAAGCACACTGAAAAGTTATTCTGAAAATAAAATTGAAAATCAACTTCACCATTTACACCTTACTGTACTTATCAAAAATTACAAAGAAAGAGGATCCCAAATCATGTTTCTACCCTAACAATTTTTGATTTCTTCTTCCCCCACTTCTTATTTGCAAAGCACATTGTATACCTTTTGTGATTTTTCCTGTTGTTATGCATTCTTCACATTCTTGTTGTAAACCCTCCAAAACTCCAATAGTTTCCCTGGAACTTTAAAATCTAAGTCATTTTGTGATGCACACTCACACTGACATATGCAATCACAGAACCTACACTTCAGGGAGGGGTATTTTGAGTCAAATTTTAGTGTCAATTCTCTGCTTTGAACAAAATATGGATTAAGAGGATGTACAGAGTACGGTTGTTTGAATTTTGATTCCCTTGCTGAGCTGAGCTCCATTGTAAACTGGGAACTGAGCCACCTTCAAATATAATGTTCTAGACAAACTGCCCACCTCAGCCCAGCTATCTAAGGGTTTTTTTGTTTGCAGAAGTGCTGAGAAAAATCATGATATGAAATAGTATTTCTACAGCAATAACTACCTGTGCAAGCAGTGTAACCTATTAAAAAGTTATTTTCCAGCCCCACCTTTCTCAGGCAAAAGCTCAAAGCAGAGGGGAAAAAATTGTTACAGCAAGCAAAAAGCCTCACTCCCCCCCCTTTTCCTGCTTCTCTTGCTTTTTCAAGGCAAAAAGTCCTTGAGCAAGAGAAAGAAAAATTAACAACCAGCAAGGACAAGAAGTGGGGGGGTGTTGGGGGAAATAATTCTCTCTCTCCAGTAAATCACACACATTTCTCCATGGGACCTTTCTCATTTCCTTGCACAAGCTATTTCTTACTCTCCTTTTAATCTGGGATGTGGGTCAACACAGACATTTACACCAACTTTTTACCATCAACATACAAATTTGTACTGTAATCAGACTGCTTGCATACTTACAATTCTTTTATGGGAGCCAATGAGCTCCATTGTCTAAATAATTTTGTGTACTAAATAATTTTGTTATTAGAGGGTCTTATCCTCCAGGTCTGGAAATGATTACACATAGACACATTCTCACACACATTTCCAGACCTGGAGAGTTTTGTCTCATGTTTTCTTCCTTTGGACAACCTGCAGTTTGTTCTCAGAGCAGTGGGATAAATCAAGGAGCGGTTCCAATCACAAATGGGCCCTAACCTGCTTCCCTACCTGCTTCCCACAGCTCTAAGTCCAATCCAAAAAGCGAATTTAATTCTCTGGCTGGACAAACATGTCACAATTATTTTATTTTGAACTGCAGCAACCCCAATTGGGGCTATACACAGGTTAAGGGTATTTTTTTTCAATTCAATCCTATTCAATTCTGCATGCAATTATTATACATGCCTAAACTAATCATCCATGACTAAACTATTTATTCAATCATTTTGTATGAGCTATTCCAAATTTTATTTAAAAATTTATATTGTACTTTCATCCAATGGTTATATATGTATGTATGTATGTATGTATGTATGTATGTATGTATGTATGTATGTATATATATACACACACACACACACACACACGCACACACACACACACACACATTTTATATATGCACATCTAAGATTTTTTAATAGAAATCACATTTCCATTTAAACAGGCAAAGCCTTTTTTATTATTTGCTAAACCCTGGATTGAAAGAACAATAAACATCTTGTTTTCTTAGTTCTTTCTACCACACATAACAGCATAAATTAATCATATCTTCTTTGATCAGCCCCAATGGAGGGGCTTCCCAATCTCTAAGTATTTTTCCCTAAAGGACTACTCAGGCCTATTTACAATTTGGGATTCTTCCTAATTGTTTTAGTGAACTTCTCACTTTTACTCAAAGTTACACCCATTATTCTATCTCCTTAAGCACTAAATAATCAAAAGGGATTAAAAATAAAAAAATTAAATAAATTGTTACTGTGTCTCTGCCCTGGGCATGTGTTCCCTTTCTAGCTTGAATCTCCCCCTTTTTCTAATTGTTCCTCTAATTTTTCCTTATGGGAGTGTATAATGGCTGTGAAGGAGAAAGAGATTTAGCCTCCTCAGAAGGAGCTGAAGGTCCAATTGGAGAAGATTTTGGGGTTACAATTTTTACCTGATCGTAATCAGGCGGGGGGCTTGTAGTCAATTGTTGTCCTGCTGAAGCATTGGAACCAAATTTTTCCACTGCTTAATGGCATTGATACCATCAATGTAATATTTGGACAGGAGCCCAGGGTTCAGGATGTAAAGTATGCCCTATCTTTATCCAATCCCTCAACTGGAGCATCCCGTGCTCAGGATACCAAGGACAATGTTTCCCTACTTCCTCAACCAGCTTATGTCTGCCTCAGGCGCTGTAACGCCTGACTTGTGTAACAGGAATCGGAGTTCCTGTACATGTTTATGCTGGTGTTGAGATAGATTGCAACCCATACTTACCACTGAGAGATCCTGGAAGACAGAGGTGCACATTATGGTAAGTATGTTGGCTGTTGCTCCCCACGGGGTGGGGGTGGGTGGGGTATGTCCCTGGTTGGGCACCAGCTGATGGAGTCAAAGACCAGTCATTTGCAGAGTGCAAAGATGTCTGACTGCCTGAGCAGTGTTTATTGCTTTTATAGTTTTACAAGCAGAAAAAGATAAAGCAGCAACAGCTTTTTTATTGGTGAATTCTGACTGCCAATCCTGAGCAACAGGCAGTGGATCAGGTTTTATTAGATCAAGAAGACAACTCCACAAGAAGCCTAGAGCTACTTTTATTAAGACTGGCTATCATAACAGAATCTTGCAAATCTTATTGTATTCTTCCTCCTTCACACAGTTCAATAAATTAAGTGTCTATTTGAATCACTTCTGAATGTTCTGAACTTAAGTGTTTTACTCCTCTTTGCCTTGATAGTGGACTGCCTTTTATCTTTTCATCAGCATCATTGTTCTTACTCTTGCTATTCTATTAAGCAATTTGAGAATCTTTGTGCTGCCAGATATAGATTAAGTTTAGGTATATTTATTTATTGTGCAACCTAAGCCCAATGAAATTATTAGGGTTTTTGGGTAGGTAGGAGTGTCATATAAATTCACTAGCACAGTATTATGGTATATTTTGTATAAACAAATTCCACATATTGAAGTGATAGGATGACTAGATTTTTTTATATCAACGATCGTAGATAGCTGATTGGATGGGGATTAAAAGGGAGTGCATTGTTCTTCTACCAGTAATAATCCTATGTTCCCATTCTTATAGGCCTTATTTTGAACTCAAAGCAAAATATTATGTACAATTAGAGGTATGTCCTTTTATTTATTTTATATAGAAGGTAAATATAGAAGTTCTGGATTGAGTTGTGGAGTCCTTGATATCTCTGTGCTTGGTTGTTTGCAGATATTTCATTACCCAACTAGGTAGTTACTGATTTTTCTTATTTAAAGCAATCTGACTCTGAAAAAAAACAATAGAAAAAAAATCCTCACTACCCTTACTTGTTACTGTTGTCTCATTTTAAGAATGATCAAACTTTTATAGATATAAAATATTCTGTATAAATGGGAGGTATTGTCTTTTGGAATTTGAGGGAAATTCCCAGCATTTAGCATATTTATTTAGTTCTAATTAATTTTATACCACCTTTACAGGAACCAGATTTTTCAAAGTTTAATTATAATGTAAATCAAGAAGTGTATTAAGTCTTCTCACAGGACAGTTGACTCTAGAGAAGGCTAGTTTCTTCCCTCCAGCCACCCACCTCAGAACATTGCTATTATTTGCCTTGTAGTGTGGAGAACGTAGACAATATATTTTACTGAGGTTCTTTAACTAGTATCCTCCTTAAGTGTTGGACTCCCATAATCAATTATCCCAAAAGTTATTGGATTGTCATGTTTGATGGAAGGATCTTAAAATTGGGTAGAGTTGTTTTAAAGTTAGAATGCTTCATTCTATATGCTAGATTGAATGATCAGACAATTGTGTAACAAAAAAAGAGTTAAATTCTAGTAAATCTGATGATTGTGACAGCTTGATTATTTTGGTGAACAGCTTAATGGGGAAGCAGAGGGGACTTGCATGAAATACAAGTCTTTCATTTGAAATATGTGAACTTAATTGATATTTTTTGTCTCAAAAACAAAAAAGTAACACAATTTATTGCATATGGATGTTTAGAAGTTTTTCTTTGAGTAAGGAAATCTTTTTGACTGCTTCGTTAGCAATTAAAGAAGATAGTGGATGATCTGCAAGCAAAATTGGCTTTGGCAAAGGGTGAATACAAAACAGCCTTGAAGAACTTGGAGATGATCTCTGATGAGATTCATGAGAGGCGACGAGTTTCATCAATGGGGCCCAGAGGATGTGGTGTTGGGGCTGAAGGCAACAGTATTTCAGCAGAAGACTTTTCAACATGCAAGTTAGATTCAGATAATATTTCCAGTAAGCAATAGAAAAAGGCATAGTTTTGGCTATGTTGATTTTTTTCAAAGGTTGTATCAGCAACTAAGAACTGGTCAAAAAATACCAGGTGTCAAGGAACCGATAATTAATTAACGGTGCCAAAGTGATTTTCAATTTTTCAAACATTTTTTCCTATTGCCATGGTACTTTGAAATTTCTTTTTGAGGTGTGATTGAAATTGATTGTTGTAAGAAAGTGCTGTGTTTACTTTTTCTGTTATGCAACTGCCTGTTGCTTCTCATATTTTGAATCTGATAAAAGTCCTTGGGGACGTGTTTCCTTATGGGAATTTCTCAGATTTGGTAGAAATAGGACAAAGCAGGAAGCTGGAAATCCCAGGAGAGATTATTGCACCATGAAAATTAGGACAAGCAGCAGTCTCAACATTGATGCAATAATAGTAAAATTTTGCCACTCTATTTTCAATGTTGACTTTGTTTAAAAAAGGTTTTTTAAAAAACACACAGAATATGGTTTAAAACCAGTATTAAAAATATTTAGCCATCTATGAAAACAAGAATTGGTTTCATAGGAGCCGTAGTGGCATAATGGTTAGAATGCAATATTGCAAGCTAATTCTGCCCACTGCTAGGAGTTTGATCCTGATGGGCTCAAGGTTGACTCCATTCTTCCAAAGTCAGTAAAATGAGGACCGAGATTGTTGGGAGCAATATGCTGACTCTGTAAACCACAAGGAGGGCTGTAAAGCACTATGAACTGGTATATTAGTAAGTGCTATTGCTATAGTGGTTAAGGCATGAGGTTAGAAACTAGGAGACCATGAGCTCTTTCTGTAAAACAGGCATTATAGTCTGGCTTGGGTCACTGGACATGGCTAATACAGACTTTTTGTATTTATCATTCTCTAGTTGAACCTTTCCTTTGGAAAATGACAGGACATAAACATGAGTGTGGATGCAGATGACTTACTTTTCACTTTTTAAATGGCCTTTGGTGATTGGTTGGGGGGGGGGAAATCACATACCAATTTTATATTACCACCTAGTTCATGAAGTCACTTACAATAGAGCTTGTGTCAAAGTAAACTTTGCCTTTTTTATTTTGGCAAAAGGTGACACCCGTTTCCCCGAAAATGAGGTCTTTTCTTTTGGACCCCAAAATAAGCACTAGGGCTTGTTTGCTGGGTGTGTCTTAATTTTTCCCCGTGTATGGGAGAGCCACTTCTGCTTGCTTGCAGCGGGGCAGGAGACCTTGTGGTGTGCCAGTGCTGCCGTTGTGAGGCGGCTGCCTCATGCGTCCCACACTGGTTTACTCCAGGGCCCCCGCTGCCAGCCCCGCATCCGGAAACCTGCCTTGTCTCGTGGTGGCAACTCTAACAGCCCTGTCCAGCAGGACCCCATATTCTTCCAGTTGTTCATGGCCACAATGGAGGAGGCTGAACAATGTGCCAGTGCAACGGTCACAAGGTGAGACAGGTCTCCAGTGTGGATGGCCTGGCTGTGGCGGCCCTGAGATAAGCCAGTGTGTGGGGCAGCTCCACCCCATCTCGCAATACCAGAAGCAACCAGATGGAATGGGCAGCTGGCCAACTGTGCAGGCTCTTAAGTAGGGCTTATTTTGGGGGTAGGGCTTATAGTGCAAGCAGAAAACATGCTAGGTCTTATTTTTTGAATAGGTTTTTTTTTTAAAGGGAAGCAGGGTAGTACTCAATATATAGCTGAGAATAAACAATAGTTGATTGCAGTGGTTTGGGATAGGGGAACAGAAGTCCTAAATGGGAAAACAATGCTGAATTTTATTTTGTTTTGATCCAAGTTAAGAATTGTATTATGCTCAATTAGTTGTGATTGAGATGGCCTATAAGCTTGTTCATTCTTTAATTAATGCTAATTATTTTTTTGAACATTTTCACAGTTGCATCAGAAGTATTTGAGGATGACAACTGCAGCAGTTTTGTGTCTGAAGAAGACTCTGAAACTCAGTCTCTATCTAGTTTCAGTTCTGGTCCAACAAGCCCTTTTGATATACCAGCTCAGTTTCTTCCAATGACTCGACCTAAAAGCTTGGATTTGTCTAGCCCTGTATCACTCTCTGAATTTGGTGCATTTCCTCTATTAGGACCTCGCAGTGAATGTAGTGGGGCATCCTCTCCTGAATGTGAAATTGAAAGAGGTAAGTTAGATTGATGAAGACAAAGACCAATGTAATATAGATATAAGAGAATGGCTAAGGGCAAACAGTGCACATGTGAGATACATAACTTTGGGAATGGGTATATGCCATTTTGTTGCTGTGTTTCAAAAGAATTCTGTAGATACAAAGTTAGAGAAGAGAACAAAATGATCTTGAAGTTTTGAAGAAAAGTGATAACTTTCCCTGCATTTTGTAACATACAACTTCTCAGCCAGATCTGCACTAAAAAGCATAAAGCTCCCATTTAAGCTCCCAAAGGTGCTTTTACAGGAGGCAACTGCTTTGTTTTTTCTTTGAAGATGTTTTGCTTCTCATCCAAGCTTTGACTGGAGTGGGAAATGGAAGGATTTATATTGCTTGCAGACAGCTAGTCATTTTCATCCTTTTAGAGGGTAGTGAATCATTTGGAGGTTTATCTGTGTCTTCAGGGTCACCTGAGTAGTGCTTCTGGTTCCTGTAGTCTGCAATTTTTAATCTGGAAATCCATTCCTACTCCCACACCATTCAAAGCATATTCATCCCAACTTGTATAGCTAAGTCTATAGAGATTCTCAATCATCCAGATTATGGTTGTCCCAAATGTGCTTTTTGTCAGAATATTCATGACTGGGAAGACATAGTAACAAGGTCAACCAATGTCTAGGCATGGCAACAGATCAGCTAATGGGAACTGAATTGGAAACTGAAACTAGCTTTGGTGTAGTTCTGAATTAAGCTCTGTGCTCAGCTCTAAAATGAAACTAGTCTGGTCTTGACTGCCTACTGAAATGAAACTAAGAACTTACTTACAATCTCTCCTCTCTACCATGTTGGAAGAATCTGCTGTTGGTATTGTAAATTTACTTCATGTGTTATTATGTATATAAAGAAGTTAATGAATCCTACTGAATTGTGTGCTTTCTGGATTTGATTTTCTGAAACAAACTCTGAAACAAACACGTTTCCTTATATCCCCTGAAGGGGCGTGTCAGTCTCTCTAATTAATCCCTGGCCTGACGTTTCTTTGCAAATTGAGATTGACGTCTCAATCTTCTTCTAGTCCTAGCATCAAGCCAACATCCGTCAGTCTCGTCATCACTCGAAGCCTCTGGCACGTTCTGTGGATCAGCTGCTGACACTTGAGGTATGAATGAAGTGGAAGGTTCTGGAGATGATCGTGTCTCCGACACTCTCTCATCCTCACCACTCACACCTGTGTCCTCTGATACATCAGACTCCAAACTCACAGCAGGCTCAAACCTTCCGTCTTCAGATGCATCAGAATCAAAACTCACAGCAGGCTCAACCCTTCCAGTCACAACATGTAGATATACAAAAGACTAAGAAAGGTGGTTATATTCTCAGTCAAAAAAGAAAAAATGAACAGTTGTTGGAGAGATGTGAAAGATTGTAATACTGCTCCAATACCTATGAGTATAAATTTTCATAACAGTTTGGGTGAGGACGAAAGTGAAGCCTGTGATCAAGATATATCAGTCAGCAATAGGGAGCCTGTTATATCTGTCACAGTGGTCCAGACCAAACATAGCTTGCGCAGTAAGCATTTTGAGTGGCTTTACTGATGCACCAATGCAATTGCATTGGATGGGTGTAAAAAGAATTCTCAGGTATTTGAACTGTGAACTTGGGTCTTCAAATACAGGTCTCTGAAGAATTAAAATACTATTTTGATAGTGATTATGCAAATGATGTAAAAATTAGAAAGTCCAATTCTGGGATTACAGTATTGTTTGGAGGGGCTTTAATTGGTTGGAAGTCCAGAAAGCAAACAATTGTTGCCATTTTTACTGTAGAGGCAAATTTATTGCTTTGTTTGAACTCTGTTCAGAGATACAGGTGAAACTCGAAAAATTAGAATATCGTGCAGAAGTTCATTTATTTCAGCAACTTAAAAGGTGAAACTAATATATGAGATAGACTCATTACATGCAAAGCAAGATAGTTCAAGCCTTGATTTGTCATAATTGTGATGATTATGGCTTACAGCTCATGAAAACCCCAAATCCACAACCTCAGAAAATTAGCATATTACATGCAATCAATAAAACAAGGATTGTACATAGAACAATATTGGACCTCTGAAAAGTATAAGCATGCATACGTACTCAGTACTTGTTTTGGGCCCCTTTTACAGCAATTACTGCCTCAATGCAGCATGGCATGGCACTGCTAAGGTGTTCTGGAAGACCAGGATACTTCAATAGCAGCCTTCAGCTCTTCTGCATTTTTCGGTCTCATGTCTCTCATCTTTCTCTTGGCAATGCCCCATAGATTCTCTATGGAGTTCAGGTCAGGCGAGTTTGCTGGCCAATCAAGCACAGTAATCCCATGGTCACTGAACCAGGTTTTGGTGCTTTTGGCAGTGTGGGCAAGTCCTGCTGGAAAATGAAGTCAGCATCCCCATAAAGCTCGTCTGTGGAAGGAAGCATAAAGTGCTCCACAATCTCCTGGTAGACGGTTGTGTTGACCCTGGACTTAATGAAGCACAGTGGACCAACACCAGCAGATGACATGGCTCCCCAAATCAACACAGACTGTGGAAACTTCACACTGGACTTCAAGCATCTTGCAGTGTGTGCCTCTCCATTCTTTCTCCAGACTCTGGGCCCTTGGTTTCCAAATGAGATGCAAAAGTTGCTCTCATTAGAAAAGAGGACCTTGGACCACTGAGCAACAGAGCAGTTCTGTTTTTCTTTAGCTCAGGTAAGACACTTTTTAAAAAAAAAAAAATTGTTTTTTTTGACAAACATAGACAAACACAACATAAAAACATCAAGCCATCTTCCACATATATACATACATGTTATGTCTCCCCTTTAATTACAGGTGAGCAAAACGAAATTCAGC